GCCCCCCCGCAGGACGCGCTGCTGCGCCGGGTCCCGCCCTCACCCCCGCGCCATGGAATAAATGGCTTTAAATGAGCAGTAACTCCCCAGGAGCCCCAAGGGCTGTTTCACGCCCCCCTGCCCCCCCTGAGGGCAGAGGCACCTGCAGCCAAACCCACAGCAAAAGCTCCTGCCTGGCTCAGTTCACCCAAACTTCCAATATTTAGAATATTAAATAACATGTTTATTTCTCCCAGTGTTCAGAAGTATCTTACAACAGATACAGTCCTTCGTGACAACCCCTAAATGCTAAGAAAGGAGGTCCAAGGCTGCCCCTTCTGATCTCAGTCCGTGGTGAGCAGAGCAGGGAAGGAGGGTCCAGCCTGACCTGGAGCTGCTCCGGCAGGAAAAGCTGGTTTATCCTTTGCTGGTGGTTTATGGCATCACCTCCTTGAGGTAGAAGTTACCAGACGTTGTTCTGAGATGGTGCCAGAGCCCTCAGCTCACTCTGTGCTGTGGAAAGGTCTCCTGCTCCTCCCTCAGCCCATCCACGTCCTCCCTTCCCTAAGGCAGGTGGTTCAGGAATTCAGGATCAAACGTGGGTCTGGGTTTTTGTGTTTTTTTTCATTTCTTTGTAGATTCTGGACGATTGTGCTGAGCCTGGAAGGATCACTGGGAAGCAGAGGGGAAACCTGGCCAAGGCTGGATCAAAGCAAAGGTCCAAGGGGCAGCTCCGTGTGTCACAGTCTGCAGGATGCCTGGGACACTTTGGAATTGGTTCTTCTGTTGAGAGCATTGCAGATAAAGGTGCCCGTGTCCATCAGCTTCTGCAGATCCACCCCCTTGGTGGGGACAGAGAGAAACACACATTGGAACCAGTTCTGCCAAGTCAGGCTGCCCAGTAACAACTGGGAGGGTCAAGCAGGGGCTGAGGGAGCCTGAAGGGTTTGTTAATGAAGCCCCAAGTGCTGCTGCTCTTTAGTGCCATTCTGAGCAAGGGTCACAGCATCAGAGAGGTGGGGACTGGAAAGGACCTCTGGAGATCATCTAGTCCAACCCCCTCCTAGTAGCTCCTTGTCCTGCTTAAACTGGGGAGCCCAGAACTGGACACAGTTCTCCAGGGAAGGCCTCACCAGGCCAGAGCAGAGGGAGAGGAGAACCTCAAACCACAGAGTACTGAAAAAGGGGAGAAGAGGGAATACTCCTGGTGGGAAGGGGTGGGATTGGTGTGGCAGGAGGAGCCCAAGGGCAGAGCCAGAGTGATCCTGCAGCTGCACCCACCACGCTCAGGCTCCCTGGGTCAAGTTGTGCTCCCAAGCCCAGCCCTGAGGCTCCATGTCCCCTCACCGTGTGGATGCCCAGCCCGTTCAGCATGTACACCAGGTCCTCTGTGGCCACGTTCCCTGAAGCTCCATGGGCATAGGGGCAGCCCCCAAGTCCAGCCACTGAGGCATCCACCACGTTCACACCCATCTGCAACAGACCAGCACGACTGAGCTCCTCTCCAGCACAGCCCCAGGCCCTGCTCCTCAGGCCCAGCAAGCACAGGTGGAGCTCAAAGGAAGATGTTGCATCATAGAATCATATTACAGAATGGTTTGGGTGGGAAGGGACCTTAAAGATCACCCAGTCCCACCCCCTGCATGGGCAGGGACACCTCCCACCAGCCCAGGTTGCTCCAAGCCCCATCCAACCTGCCCTTGGAAAATTCCAGGGAGGGGTGCCCAGCAAAGCAGGGATCTCACCTGAAGTGCTACCAAGATGTTGGCCAGAGCCTGCCCGTAGGTGTCGTGGCAGTGAACAGCCAGAGCCCCCACAGGCACCTCCTTCATCACAGCTGCCAGCATCTCCCTCATGCTGCCCGGGGTGCCCACGCCGATGGTGTCCCCCAGGGAGATCTCGTAGCATCCCATCGAGTACATCTTCTTGGAGACCTGCCCACAAGCCACAAGGCTCTGCTGAGGAGGCAGCTTTGCCATCCCCTTCCCCAAAGCTGGAGACCCACTGGGTCAGAGCTTCCCTGGAGAGCAACAGCCTGGAGGCTCCTCTGGGATCAACAACCTCCAGGTCCCCACACCTCCCTGAATTCCCTGCCCAGTCTGGCTAGATCCAGCCTTCCTCCTGTGCTGGCTGCAACCTTCAGAGTCATGGAATGGTTTGGGTTGGAAGGGACCTTAAAGATCCTCCAGCCCCACCCCCCTGCATGGGCAGGGACACCTCCCACCAGCCCAGGCTGCTCCAAGCCCCATCCAACCTGCCCTTCAACACTGCCAGGGATGGGGCAGCCACAGCTTCCCTGGGCAACCTGGGCCAGGCTCTCACCACCCTCACACCCAAGAATTTCCTCCTCATGTCCAACCTCAATCTCCCTCTTCCAGTTTTAATCCATCCGCCCCTTGTCCTCTCCCTCCCTGCCCTTGTCCCAAGTCCCTCCTCAGCTTTCCTGGAGCCCCTTCAGGCCCTGGAAGGTGCTCTAAGGTCTCCCTGGAGCCTCCTTTTCCCTCGGCCTTCAGCCAAATGGTTCAACCCACCCTCCAGCCCCCAGTGCCCAATTCACATCCCTGAGCCAAAAACCTCTTCACCAATTTCTGATGAACTCACCTCTGCAACTTTAGCAGGATAAATCTTCCCTTCATAGGGGCACCCAAGGACACAGGACACGTACCTGTGGTTCAAAGAAACACACCCTCTTAGCCAGAGAACTGAGGTGAGATTCTACTGGCCAGATGAGTCAGGGCTTGTGCTAGAACCTTCCATGCTCTGTCCAATGGGAGAATTAATTCCATAATTAAAAAAAAACTCGGCCCAGGGAACAAAGTTGACACAATTAACTATTTGACAATTACTTCTTCCACAGATACGAATCATGTGCCAGGATGTGAGCACAGAACTGTGAGGTCTGTGGCTTCACACACTTCCCAGGGGAATGCCTGCCTGGAAGCTGGGGTTAGATGGGATCATTTGGCAGAGCTGGAGATGGAGCAGTGGGCAGGGAGTCAGCAGGAGACTCACCCCCGGACAGGGACACTGGCTGCTCTGGCTGCTGCCATCACTTCACCAAACCTCTCCAGGCTCTCCTCGATGGAGCAGTTGATGTTCTTCTTGGTGAAGAGCTCAGATGCTGCCCCAAAGATGGACACTTCTTTGGCCCCTGCTGCCACCTGCCAACAGGAAGCATGAATTCATGGAATGGTTTGGGTTGGAAGGGACCTTAAAAATTACCCAGTCCCAACCCCCTGCATGGGCAGGGACACCTCCCACCAGCCCAGGTTGCTCCAAGCCCCATCCAACCTGCCCTTCAACACTGCCAGGGATGGGGCAGCCACAGCTTCCCTGGGCAACCTGGGCCAGGCTCTCACCACCCTCACACCCAAGAATTCCCTCCTCATGTCCAACCTCCATCTCCCCTCTTCCAGTTTTAATCCATCCCCCTTGTCCTCTCCCTCCCTGCCCTTGTCCCAAGCCCCTCCCCAGCTTTCCTGGAGCCCCTTCAGGCACTGGAAGGTGCTCTAAGGTCTCCCTGGAGCCTTCTCTTCTCCAGGCTGATCTCTCAGGCAAGGGAAATAACAAGCACAACCACTACCATAGTTCTCCCTTTTATAAAAATCACTTGTCTCCCAGTTCTTCCCTGAAAACCCCAATTCCTTCCTCAGTTCATTCTACAACAAAACTCTTTACAGCACCTCCAGCTTTGCCTGCAAAGAAGAGTGAAGTCCCAAATGCAGCAGCAAAACCACATCTGCTGGAGTCTCCCAGGGGTGAGACTGAAAACATCAATGTCAATTCAAAGAGACTCATTTTTCTCGTTAATGATAGAAAATGTCTCCAGCTTTTTCCTGTTCTTTTTCCATTTCTGCAACTAAACAATCCCTTGGGGAGATGAGAGGCTGCAGCCTGCCAGGCTGGAGCTGCATTTCCCACCCTTAATCCCAGCTGGAATGGCCCTTTGCAGGGGCCAGGAGGCCCAGAGCCCAGGGGCAGCTGCCACCTCTTACCGCTGCCTGAAATCCCTTCAGGTTGGGGGTGAGCACAGGGTAACTGATCCCAGGCACCTTGTTGATGCCCTGCATGACTTCAGCGTGGTCAGCCATCTGCCAGGGAACAAGGGGAAACATCATTCATGTGTCTTGCTAGAAGGGGAAGAGTAAATATTGAGGAGGGAGAGAAAAGGGGCCTCCAAGCAGCCCCAGCCTGGGAAGGGCCCGAGGTCAGGAATCCAGGGCCAACACAAACACACGTGGGTGTTTGTTTCTGAGCTGGATATTTGCTCTTTGCAGGGTCCAAAGGGGAGCTCTGGGACGTCACCAGCACCTCTGTTTGGCTTTGCTGGCTCCTGGCCAGGTACAAGCTACAGCAAGAAGGGTTTGGGAGGTGTCCCTGCCCATGCAGGGGCTGGAACCAAATGATCTCTAAGGTCCCTTCCAACCCAAACCAGTCTATGATCTTCACTAGATTACCATGATTATTAATAAACAACCCATATTACACTGCTGTATCATTAACTGTACTATCTAGTGTGTATTATTAAGGCTGGTTTGCAGACTGACCTGAGGAACCCACTTGGGGGACACGAAGCTGGTGGCCTCTATGACCTGCAGCCCCGTCTCTGACAACATGTTGATCAGGTTGATCTTCACGGGGGTGGGCACAATGTTCTGGGGAGGGGGTTTGAACACACCTGAAGTCACTATTTCC